GATATGTGTAGTATACTAGAAAAACAATAAAAAAAATTAAGAATATATTTATTTTAATGTAGGTAGGTATATTATAAAATAAAAAATTTACAAATTAATCCAAACACAATTTTATATAAATCTATTGCAACATTTTAACAAGGGGTTTCTATTTAAAAAATTACTCCTTAAAAGGACTTTTTTCTGAAAAAAACATATTATAATATTAGTATTAGTACTAATTAGTCAAATTTACTGATCATCAAAATTAAGATATTATTTTTTAAATAAATCATCTGTAACCAATGTGTCTAGTTGTATAACAATATGTTTTTGCCGTTAAACATAATAAAAAAGAATACATTTAAAAAATAAAGAACAATCATACATTTATCTGTATATCGTTTACTGTTTAAGTTGACAACACTGTAGGAACATCATTATCAAACAAATTGGTAATTTCAGTTCGTGAAGTATAACTAACATAAACAGCTTCTGATTTCGCTCAAACTTTGAACAATGATGCCAACTCACAGGAACAAAATTTTGCCAACACCTTTTTTCTTGGCCTTTGAAAATTTTAACTTTTAAAAAAGAAAACGTTCAAAATATTTGCAAAAATAGTATTATAGTTTTTCAAAATATTCTTCAAGAAGACCAATAAACTTTTTGTTGTTCCATTATTTTATTTCGCACTTTTTTCCAACTCATTTTGTTCTTTATGTTTTCTATAGATATGCTTTTGTAAATCTTGATTTATAGTCGTGGAGTAGTCACAATACATACAAGAGTACGTTTTAATATTAATTGTAACTTTATTTTCCAACTTATTTTCTTCTTTATGTTTGTTAAAGACGTGTCTGTTTAAAATTCGCTTCTCAAGTGTTGTAAAGTTACAGTACACACAGGAATGAATTTTTAGGTTTAATTTTATTTTTTTTTCTAACTCATTTTGTTCTTTATGTTTTAAATAAACGTGCATTTGTAAATAATTTTTTCTTTTTGTTATAAAGTCACAATACATACAATATTCTGTTTGAAAATGTCTTTGAATGGGTACTTTTAAATGTTTTCTATTGATGTGGTCTTGAAGATCTCGATTTATCATCGATTTGTAGTCACATTTAACACAAGAGTACGTTTTAATGTTTAATTTCACTTTTTTTTCCAAATCATTTTGTTCCTTATGTTTCGAATAAATGTGCATCTGCAAACAATTTGTTCTTCTTGTTGTGAAGTCACAGTAAACACAGGAGTAAATTTTTATTTTGAATGATACTTTTTTTTCTAGCTCGTTTTGTTCTTTATGTTTGCTATAGATGTGGTCTTCTAGCTTACGACTTTCCACTGTTGAGAAGTCACAGTACATACAAGCTTTTATATCTAATTCTACTTTTTTTTCCAACTCATTTTGTTCTTTGTGTTTTATATAAATGTGGTCGTGTAAAAGATATCTTTTATGTGATGTATAGTCACAGTACACACAATCGTGAGTTTTTACTTTTAATTCCACTTTATTTTGCAACTCATATTGTTCTTTATGTTTGTTGTAAATGTGTCTTCGTATATTACCTTTATTTATGGTTGTAAAGTCACAGTACATACAACAGTTTATTTTAACTTTATTTTCCACCTCATTTTGTTCTTTATGTTTTCTATAGATGTGGGATTGAAGCCCATGACTTTCAAGTGCTATAAAGTCACAGTACATACAATGGTAACCTTTTAAGTCCAACTCTACTTTTTTTTCTAACTCATTTTGTTCTTTATGTTTGAAATAAATGTGGTGGTGTAAAACATTTCGTTTTACTGATACATAGTCACAGTACACACAAGAGTGAGTTTTTACGTTTAATTTGACTTTATTTTCCAACTCATTTTGTTTCTTATGTTTAGTGTATATGTGCCTTTGCAGTGATTGTTTATAAGTTGTACTATGATCACAGTATAAACAAAATAATTTTTTATTTTTGTTAGCTGGCTTATGTCCATGGTCTGCGATCATGTGTTGGGTTACTTCGTATTCTGGTCCCGAGAAAAAACATTCGCTGTATTCACATATGGTTGATGTTTTACTAAAACAAAATTAATTGTTAGTATATTATAGCAAAATAACTAAATTAGCAAACACTATATTGTACTCAATTTTTACCAAAGTTGCACTTAAAACAGTGTGGAACTTAAGCGACGATATGTGTAAGATAATAGAAAAAAAATAAAACAATTAAGACTATATTTATTTGAATGTAGGTGGATTATAAAATAAAAAATGTACAAATTAAACAAAACACAATTTTATATAAATTTATTGCAACATTTTAACAAGGGGTTTCTATTTAAAAAATTAGTCCTTAAAAGGACTTTTTACTGAAAAAAACAAATTATAATATTAGTATTAGTCAAATTTACTGATCATCAAAATTAAGATATAATTTTTTAATTAAAGCATCTGTAATCAATGTGTCCAGTTGTATAACAATATGTTTTTGCCGTTAAACAATAAAAAATAATCCATTTAAAAAATAAAGAACAATCAAACATTTATCTGTATATCGTTTACTGTTTAAGTTGGCAACACTGTAGGAACATCATTATCAAACAAATTGGTAATTTCAGTTCATGAAGAATGATCTGCAGTACAACTAACATAAGCAGCTTCTGATTTGCTCAAACTTTGAACAATGATGCCAACTTACAGGAACAAAATTTTGCCAACACCTTTTATCTTGGCCTTTGAAAATTTTAACTTTTAAAAAAGAAAACGTTCAAAATATTTGCAAAAATAGTATTATAGTTTTTCAAAATATTCTTCAAGAAGACCAATAAACTTTTTGCTGTTCCATTATTTTATTTCACACTTTTTTCCAACTCATTTTGTTCTTTATGTTTTCTATAGATATGCTTTTGTAAATCTTGATTTATAGTCGTGGAGTAGTCACAATACATACAAGAGTACGTTTTAATATTAATTGTAACTTTATTTTCCAACTTATTTTCTTCTTTATGTTTGTTAAAGACGTGTCTGTTTAAAATTCGCTTCTCAAGTGTTGTAAAGTTACAGTACACACAGGAGTGAATTTTTAGGTTTAATTTTATTTTTTTTTCCAACTCATTTTGTTCTTTATGTTTTAAATAAACGTGCATTTGTAAATAATTTTTTCTTTTTGTTATAAAGTCACAATACATACAATATTCTGTTTTCAAATGTCTTTGAATGGGTACTTTTAAATGTTTTCTATTGATGTGGTCTTGAAGATCTCGATTTATCATCGATTTGTAGTCACATTTAACACAAGAGTACGTTTTAATGTTTAATTTCACTTTTTTTTTCAAATCATTTTGTTCCTTATGTTTCGAATAAATGTGCATCTGCAAACAATTTGTTCTTCTTGTTGTGAAGTCACAGTAAACACAGGAGTAAATTTTTGTTTTGAATGATACTTTTTTTTCTAGATCGTTTTGTTCTTTATGTTTGCTATAGATGTGGTCTTCTAGCTTACGACTTTCCACTGTTGAGAAGTCACAGTACATACAAGCTTTTATATCTAATTCTACTTTTTTTTCCAACTCATTTTGTTCTTTGTGTTTTATATAAATGTGGTCGTGTAAAAGATATCTTTTATGTGATGTATAGTCACAGTACACACAATCGTGAGTTTTTACTTTTAATTCCACTTTATTTTCCAACTCATATTGTTCTTTATGTTTGTTGTAAATGTGTCTTCGTATATTACCTTTATTTATAGTTGTAAAGTCACAGTACTTACAACAGTTTATTTTAACTTTATTTTCCACCTCATTTTGTTCTTTATGTTTTCTATAGATGTGGGATTGAAGCCCATGACTTTCAAGTGCTATAAAGTCACAGTACATACAATGGTAACCTTTTAAGTCCAACTCTACTTTTTTTTCTAACTCATTTTGTTCTTTATGTTTGAAATAAATATGGTGGTGTAAAACATTTCGTTTTACTGATACATAGTCACAGTACACACAAGAGTGAGTTTTTACGTTTAATTTTACTTTATTTTCCAACTCATTTTGTTTCTTATGTTTAGTGTATATGTGCCTTTGCAGTGATTGTTTATAAGTTGTACTATGATCACAGTATAAACAAAATAATTTTTTATTTTTGTTAGCTGGCTTATGTCCATGGTCTGCGATCATGTGTTGGGTTACTTCGTATTCTGGTCCCGAGAAAAAACATTCGCTGTATTCACATATGGTTGATGTTTTACTAAAACAAAATTAATTGTTAGTATATTAAAGCAAAATAACTAAATTAGCAAACACTATATTGTACTCAATTTTTACCAAAGGTGCACTTAAAACAGTGTGGAACTTAAGCGACGATATGTGTAAGATACTAGAAAAACAATAATAAAAATAAAATAATTAAGACTATATTTATTTTAATGTAGGTAGGTATATTATAAAATAAAAATGTACAAATTAAATAAAACACAATTTTATATAAATTTATTGCAACATTTTAACAAGGGGTTTCTATTTAAAAAATTACTCCTTAATAGGACTTTTTACTGAAAAAAACAAATTATAATATTAGTATTAGTCAAATTTACTGATCATCAAAATTAAGATATTATTTTTTAATTAAAGCATCTGTAATCAATGTGTCCAGTTGTATAACAATATGTTTTTGCCGTTAAACAATAAAAAATAATCCATTTTAAAAATAATGAACAATCAAACATTTATCTGTATATCGTTTATGTTTAAGTTGGCAATACTGTAGGGACATCATTATCAAACAAATTGGTAATTTCAGTTCGTGAAGAAGGATCTGCAGTACAACTAACATAAACAGTTTCTGATTTCGCTCAAACCTTGAACAATGATGCCAACTTACAGGAACAAAATTTTGCCAACACCTTTTATCTTGGCCTTTGAAAATTTTAACTTTTAAAAAATAATACGTTCAAAATATTTGCAAAAATAGTATTATTGTTTTTCAAAATATTCTTCAAGAAGACCAATAAACTTTTTGTTGTTCCATTATTTTATTTCACACTTTTTTCCAACTCATTTTGTTCTTTATGTTTTCTATAGATATGCCTTTGTAAAACTTGGTTTATAGTCGTGGAGTAGTCACAATACACACAAGAGTACGTTTTAATATTAACTGCAACTTTATTTTCCAACTTATTTTCTTCTTTATGTTTTATAAAGACGTGTCTTTTTAAAATCCGCTTCTCAAGTGTTGTGAAGTCACAGTACACACAGGAGTGAATTTTTAGGTTTATTTTTACTTTCTTTTCTACCTCATTTTGTTCTTTATGTTTCAAATAAACGTGCATGTGTAAATAATTTTTTCTTTTTGTTGTAAAGTCACAGTACATACAATATTCTGTTTTAAATTGTCTTTGAATGGGTACTTTTAAATGTTTTCTATTGATGTGGTCTTGAAGATCTCGATTGATCACCGTTTTGTAGTCACATTTAACACAAGAGTACGTTTTTATGTTTAATTTAACTTTTTTTTCCAAATCATTTTGTTCTTTATGTTTCGAATAAATGTGCATCTGTAAATTACTTGTTCTCTTTGTTGTGAAGTCACAGTAAACACAGGAGTACATTTTTATTTTTATTGATACTTTTTTTTCTAGCTCGTTTTGTTCTTTATGTTTGCTATAGATGTGGTCTTCTAGCTTACGACTTTCCACTGTTGAGAAGTCACAGTACATACAAGCTTTTATATCTAATTCTACTTTTTTTTCCAACTCATTTTGTTCTTTGTGTTTTATATAAATGTGGTCGTGTAAAAGATATCTTTTATTTGTTCTATAGTCACAGTACACACAATCGTGAGTTTTTACGTTTAATTCCACTTTATTTTCCAACTCATATTGTTCCTTATGTTTGTTGTAAATATGTCTTCGTATATTACCTTTATTTATTGTTGTAAAGTCACAGTACATACAACAGTTTCTTTTTTCCAAATCATTTTGTTTTTTATTTTTTCCAAAGCTGTGGTCTTGTATATATGTTATACTTAATGCAACTTTATTTTCCACCTCATTTTGTTCTTTATGTTTTCTAAAGATATGTTTTTGTAGATGTATTTTTACAAATGTTGTGTAGTCACATTTCTCACAAAATAAAGTTTTTATGTTTAATTCAACTTTTTTTTCTAACGCATTTTGTTCTTTATGTTTTCTGTAGATGTGGTATTGTAGTCTATGATTTTCAACTGCTATAAAGTCACAGTACACACAATGATAAACTTTTATGTCTAACTCTAGTTTTTTTTCCAACTCATTTTGTTCTTTATGTTTTAAATAAATGTGTACATGTAATTTATTTTTTATCTTTGTTGTGAAGTTACAGTACATACAGTAATAAATTTTCAAATTTAATGATACTTTTTTTTCTAATTCGTTTTGTTCTTTATGTTTGCTATATATGTGGCTTTTTAGCTTGTAACTTTCCACTGTTGTAAAGTCACAGTACACACAAGCTTTTATATCTAATTCCACTTTTTTTTCTAACTCATTTTGTTCTTTATGTTTAATATTAATGTGGTGGTGTAAAACATATCTTTTTTCTGATACAAAGTCACAGTACACACAAGCGTGAGTTTTTACGTTTAATTTTACTTTATTTTCCAAGTCATTTTGTTTTTTATGTTTGGTATATATGTGCCTTTGCAGTGATTGTTTATAAGGCGTATTATAGCCACAGTATACACAAAAGAATTTTTTATTTTTGTTAGTTGGCTTATGTCCATGGTCTGTGGTCATGTGTTGGGTTACTTCGTATTCTGGTCCCACAAAGAAACATTTGCTGTATTCACATGTGGTTGATGTTTTACTGAAACAAAATTAATTGTTAGTAGGTATATTTACAAAATAACCAAATAAGCAACACTATTATGTACTTTGTACGGTGCGTTTTAATCGCAAAAATTTTTTAGGTAATAAGAAGAAAAGTTCATATAAAGTTAAATATTTTCAAGCTTTATTTGTCAAAAATACATTTTTATTTGATTAAGCAAGATTACATTTATATTTTTGATTAACATAAATACTTTACAGTGTGCAAAAAAATCAAGTGGCCCTAAATTAGGAGACAGAGCATTGGGTTGTTACAACGGATAAGTCTCATCATGTCACTGTCTTGTTGGAATATGTCAAATTCATCAGGACTAGCTTAAACTATGTCTTGAATCATCGGATGATTTGTGTTTGAAGCATGTTTAAGTACAACAATAGGGTTTCCCAATTTTTTTTGGATTTGATTTCATAATTTTATGAATTTGTTCAACAAATTGGTGCTAAAAAAGTGACAGGAACAATTTTTGCTAAATTGTAGCAAATAATTGTAGTGGACTTGAGTATTTGAGACTTTTTTAATATAATATTTTGTGGTGAAAAAAATATGAATTCAGTTTCTTATTTTAATCTTTATGTTTTCTATAAATATGCCGTGATAATGTTTGGTGTAAAGTCGTGGTAAACTCACAAAACATACAAGAGTAAGATTTTATTTTTATTTCCACCTTATTTTCCAAATCATTTTGTTCTTTATGTTTGTTATAATAGTGCATTTGCAAATTTCGGGTTTTTACTGTCGTAAAGTCACAGTACACACAAGATTGAGTTTTTACTTTTATTGCCACTTTCTTTGCCAACTCATTCTGTTCTTTATGTTTGCTATACATGTGTTTCTGTAATGAAGCGTTTTCCCTAGTTCTGTAGCCACAGTACACACAAGAGTAGGTTTTTATTGTTAATTTCACCCTATTTTCCAACTCATTTTGTTCTCTATGTTTGTCATAAATGTGGTTTTGTAAAAACCCATTTCTAGCTGTTGTAAAGTCACAGTACGCACAGGAGTAAGTTTTTATATGTAACGGTACTTTATTTTCCAACTCATTTTGCTCTCTGTGGTTGCTGTAGATGTGGTTTTGTAACAACCCCGTTTTTATTGTTGTAAAGTCACAGTACACACAAGAATAAGGTTTTACTTGTATTGCGACTTTATTTTCCAACTCATTTTGTTCCTTATGTTTCCTATAGATGTGGTTTTGCAAATTTCGGTTTTCCACCGTTGAAAAGTCACAGTACACACAAGAGTAAGTTTTAACTTTTATCGCGACTTTATTTTCCAACTCATTCTGTTCCCTATGCTTTCTAAAGATGTGGTTTTGCAACCTTTGGGCTTCCACCGTTGTAAAGTCACAGTACACACAAGAGTAAGTTTTTATATTTATTGTCGCTTTGTTTTCCAAGTCATTTTGTTCTTTATGCTTGGTATAAATGTGCATTTGTAAGTTACGGTCCTTCACCGTTGTAAAGTCACAGTACACACAAGAGTAACTTTTTAGTTTTTGTAGTTTATGTCCGTGGTCTTTTATCATGTGTTGGGTTACTTTGTACACTGGTCCTGAGACAAAACATCTGTCGTAACCGCATATAGCTGATTTTTTACTGAAACAAAATAAGTTAGTTAGTTTTTACCTTAAATTAATACTAAATTAAGATACAATTATATGGTCCACTATTTATTTTTTAGTGATAATGAAACTACTCTTTGGTTTATTATATTGTTTATTGTTACAAAGAATATATTTTTTTTAAGAAAACCTTACATACAATCGTATATACAGGGTGTAACCTTACCTCTAAAAACAATGGTTATAAATGCAAAATATTAAGTAATAGTCACCATAAAAGACATGGGGTTTGTCTACTTTGACCATACAAGTCAATACCAAAACTCTAATTCACTATATAGCCACCACTAACACTTTTTAACAAAACACTTAACGGCTGTTAAAATTAAAGAAAATGTGAAATTTGTATACTTAAAAATTAACTCAACTGAAAAATAATAAATATTTATTTTCTTCTAAAAATAGTATTGGACAAATCAATAAATTTTTATTGGGAATTAAAAAAATTAGGTAACAATGTTGTATATGCTAAAATATAACCTAGGCTCTAAATACTTGAATACTACTATACTGCATAAACAATACAAGGTGCGTTCTAAAGTAAACAGGACTATTTATAGAATATATTTTGCATCTTTTTTACAAAATTCAACACTAGAGGTTTTTGAGAAATTCTAACCTAAATGTAGAAAACTCGCGTATTTTTTCACATAACTCATTACGCCAATACCAAACTCATTTTGTAAATTTTGTATTTTTTTGGGATAGAATTTGATTTTAGCGTGACAAGGTTTGGTGTTAAATTTTGAAAATATAGTCTGTTATAAAATGTTTTAAATATTTGTGTTTTCTTCTTTATGTTTTCTATATATGTGGTTTTGCAACCTCCTACTTTCCACCGCTGTAAAGTCACAGAACACACAAGAGTAAGTTTTTATATTTATTGCCACTTTATTTTCCAACTCATTTTGCTCTTTATGTTTGTTATATATGTGCAATTGCAAACTGCGAGTTGTTACTGTTTTAAAGTCACAGTACACGCAAGATTGTGTTTTAATTTTTATTTCCACTTTCCCTTCCAACTCATTTTGTTCTTTATGTTTGTTGTGGATGTGTATTTGTAGTTTACTGTTTTCAAGTGACGAGAAGTCACAGTACACACAAGAGTACGTTTTTTTTTCCAATGCTATCTTATTTTCCAACTCATTTTGTTCTTTATGTTTGATAAAGATGTGGTTTTCAAACATCCGTTTCTCCACCGACGTATAGTCACAAAACACGCAAGAGAAAGTTTTTATATTTATCGCTTCTTTATTTTCCAACTCATATTGTTCTTTATGTTTGTTATAGATGTGCATTTGCAAACTACGAGTTGTCCCTGTTTTAAAGTCACAGTACACACAGAATTGCTTTTTTATTTTTGTTTCTTCTTTCCTTTTTAACTCATTTTCTTCTTTTTGTTTTATCTTATTTTCTACATGCTTGCTATATATGTGGGTTTGCAACCTTCTATTTTCCACTGATGTAAAGTCACAGAACATACAAGAGAAAGTTTTTATATTCAGCACAACTTTATTTTCCAACTCATTCTGTTCTTTATGTTTATTATAAATGTGCAGTTGCAAACTACGAGTTGTTACTGTTGTAAAGTCACAGTACACACAAGATTGTGTTTTTATTTTTATTTCAACTTTCTTTTCCAACTCATTTTGTTCTTTATGTTTGTTGTGTATGTGTATTTGTAGTTTAGTGTTTTCAAGTGATGTAAAGTCACAGTACACACAAGAGTAAGTTTTTGTTTGCAATTCTATCTTATTTTCTAACTCGTTTTGTTCTTTATGTTTGATAAAGATATGGTTTTTCAACATACGTTTCTCCAATGTAGTAAAGTTACAGTACACACAAGAGTAAGTATTTATATTTACGGACACTTTCTTTTCAAACTCATTTTGTTCTTTATGTTTGCTATATATGTGGTTTTCAAACAACTTTTTTTTCACTGTTGTGAAGTCACAGTACACGCAAGAATAAGTTTGTATTTGTATTGCAACCTTATTTTCTAACTCATTTTGTTCTTTGTGTTTTCTATAAACGTGCAATTGTAAATTTTGATTTTTCGATGTTGTAAAGTCACAGTACACACAACTTCTTATTTGGTCTTTATTAGTTCGTTTGTATTTTATAAAAGGAGTTTCTTTTGGTCCTGGGATACAATATCTCTCGGATATGCGTTTGGTTGATTTTTTACTGAAACAAAAGGAGTTGTTAGTTTGAGAAAATTTATTTTTTTGCTTATATTAGCATTAAATTTTAAAAGCTACCATATGATATTAAGAAAACTAAATAAATATTGCATTATTTATTATTACAAAAAATACAGGTTTTTATGTTATAAAATGTTTTAACATGTAGAAGTTATTAAAAATTATTATTCTTGCAGCGTTAATTAAACGTTTTTGGGGAAATCCTAATAAAGAAAATGAGTATCTACAAAATTTGTTTAAACCAATCTAACCGTTTTCTAGGATTTCAGACCAAAAATAAATCAAAAACTGATTTTGTCCTTTATGTTTGCTATGTGTGGTTTTGTTAATGGAGCATATCTTTGTTGTGAAGTCACAGTTCCAGTGAAATAAGTCTTTTTCATTGCTATTTCCCAACTCTTTTTTTTTCATGTTTTCTTTTGATGTGAATTTGTAAATCAGGCCAAGTGCTTGTTGACGAATTATACTTTATTGATTGATTTTGATTAGTTAGGTTTGTTTATAATTGTTAACTCAAATTCTAGTCCTAAAAAAACATTCGCTGTATCCATATTTTTTTATTATTATTTTTATTAAAACTATCAAAAATATCCTTTACTTAAATCACCAAAAACTGTGTAAATAATAATAATAATATCTTTATTATCCAATTACAGGACAATTATAATAATACAGAATATATAAACAAATACTAAAGTAACTATAAATTCAAAATAAGTTTAGCTAACTTCAAAATAATTTATGGCCAACGATGTAATATTTTCAATAGTGGCAACTGCAATATCACATTCATTGCATATTTTATTGAAGTTACCATTCATGACAAATACTGGAGATTTCAAAAGAACATTGGTTCTGGCATATGTATTATAGAAAGTTAAAATAGATCTAGCATTAATTCGTGGTAAGTGAATGTTAAAGAGTGATATCAAAAAGGTACTGTCTATTTCATTTCTGAACAGCCCGTACAGAACTAATACTAGTTTAAAATCTTCTAAATTGCAAGGACCTAACATAAAATCTATTCAACAATAAAATATGTTCAGTACCTCTAGCAGGATAAATATTGTCAAGCCTAAAAGCTAAAATTTTCAAAAATCGCCTTTGTACTCTTTCTAATTGATCAGTGTAGGCATTATAAAATGTATACCAAACAAGAGAGCAGTACTCTAGCTTGGTACGAACCAATGAATAATACAAAACTTCCAATGCACCCTCACAATTCATTGATTGAGTATTTCTATTTATAAAACCAACCATTTTAAGAGCAGATTTTACAATACTAGTGATGTGGTCTGAAAATGATAATTTGGTATCAAAATATACTCCCAAGTCTCTGGTACCTGCACACCTTGATATGGAATCGTCATTAATTGTGTACTCAAAAATAATTGGATATTTTAGAGTAAAGGTACACACCTTACATTTAACGATATTCAAAAAAAGTCTATTGAGGATACACCATTCATTTATTAAGTTTAGCTGATTTTGTAGGTATACACAGTCTGATGCATCAGAAACATCAACAAACAATTTCAAGTCATCAGCAAAAATTGGAAATATCATTGATAAAAAGGACAAATAATAGTGGACCCAGGTTAGAACCCTGAGGAACTCCAGAGCCTGGACTAAAACTATCAGAACCAAAACCATTGTAGGTCACAAATAATTGACGATTAACAAGATAGGATTGAAATAAATTCAAAAGTTGATTGCTGAATCCAAATGATCTCAGCTTCATTAACAAGACAGTATGAAATAAAGGGGTATCTTATATTAAAAAAAAAACATTTTAAAAATAATAATAATTTTAATAAAAGTAATTTAACAACATAAGGTAACGATATAATTTTTTATGAAAATATAACATTTTTAACATAACTTTGAATTTTTTCAAAAAAGCACTTTCTAGTGGCACCATCTATTGATGAGTACCTGCGTTGAAAAAGGCCATATATCAAGTTAATGCGCCTAACGTTACAGTATGTTTGTGGAATCGGTGCGAATAGAAAAGGAACATAATTAAGTTGTTTTAAACCTGGTAAAACTGGTATATTTATGTTGTGTTTTCTTCCTTATGTTTTCTATATATGTGGTTTTGCAACCTTCTATTTTCCACCGTTGTGAAGTCACAGAACACACAAGAGAAAATTTTTATTTTTATCGCTACTTTATTTTCCAACTCATTTTGTCTTTTATGTTTATTATAAATATGCAATTGCAAACTACGAGTTGCTACTGTTTTAAAGTCACAGTACACACAAGATTGTGTTTCTATTTCCACTTTCCTTTCTAAATTATTTTGTTCTTTATGATTGTTGTGGATGTGCATTTTTAGATGACTTTTTTCAAGTGACGTAAAGTCACAGTACACACAAGAGTAGGTATTTATATTTATTGCTACTTTATTCTCCAACTCATTTTGTTCTTTATGTTTAACATAAACGTGCATTTGAAAGTTACGGTTTCTAACTGTTGTATAGTCACAGTACAAACAAGAGTATGTTTTAATTTTTACTTTATTTTCTGACTCATTTTGTTCTTTATGTTTTCTATAGATGTGGTCTTCCAATGACTTTTTTTTCACTGTTGTGAAGTCACAGTACACACAAGAGTAAGTTTGTATTTGTATTTCTATTTTATTTTCTAAATCATTTTGTTTTTTATGTTTCCTGTAAACGTGGTTTTGTAAATTACGATTTTCCACTGTTTTAAAGTCACAGTACGCACAAGAGTAAGTTTTTATTGTGACTTTATTTTTAAAAGCGTC